GAAGCAGCAGATGTTAGAAATGTACTGCCTAAGACTATCAATGAGACCAAGGCTAGAGAGATGTGAATAAGAGCACGTGTGAGATGCATGGTGAACATCTTCTAGTTTAACATTATTCCTTCATGAGACGGAAGCAGTACCCCTAAATTAGATTCAGTTTCTTCAAATACACCTTCTTCCTGTCCAGCAGAAGACAGAAAGACTTCCTGGAGCTGGAGAACATGCTTGGGCCATGGCATGATGCCTTAAAGCAGAGACTGAAGAAGTAGGAGAATTCTGCAGCTCAGCCCTTTTCTTTAGCCCTTTCCTTGTCCAGAGAATGGGATGGAGGGAATGTGAGGAGGTGACGTGTGCAGTGCAGAGTGGAAGACGGTTGATCCTGTATTTAAACGCATATCCAATAGCAATTCTGTCAACAAACCTTCCTATTAGTGTAATCTTATTTCTCGTAAACTGTTGTTATTATAAGAAATTGATTTTTATCATACTCTCTAAATGTATCTCCTTCACCCCTCCTCCAGTATTAAATAGTTAATAATTTAACAAAATAATATCGTATATACTGGAAACTAACCATGCAAACACACATACCACATATATCAGCTATGTTTTCTTTTTATTTCTGTGTCTATATTTTTATTCAATGTATATTTTAATGAGTATAATTCCATAGTATATTGTGAGAATGAGATTATGATTTTAATGTATTTATAATTACTCTGCCCTAGCACAACTAATTTTTTTCTGAGCATCCTTTTGGTTTTTATTTACTATATATAGTATCTATTTATCATCAGAGCACATAATTATATATTCTGTTTTTGTTATCATTTTCCATGTTGCTGCCTATTCATCACTTATGACTACTTAATGCATCATGGAATTTCTATACCAACATTTCTTAAATGCTTTCCTGTTGGATACACAAGTAGTTTCTATTTTTCACTATTATAAATACAGATTGAGCAGCCCTAATCTGAAATCTAAAACGCTCCAAAATCCAAAACTTTTTGAGCACCAAGATGACACTCTAAGGAAATGCTCCCTGGAGTATTTCATATGTTTGGATTTTGGGGTTAGGAATGCTCCATAAGTACAAATATTCCAAAATCTGAAAAAAAGTCAGAAACCTGAAACACTTCTGATCCCAAACATTTCAGATGCAGAATACTCAACCTGTAATGCTACAGTGATCATTTTCCTAGGAATGCCATTTTTTTAACTTTAAATTATTGTCATGAAATAATTTGTGAGTGGGATTAGTAGGCCCACAGATAGGAATATATTTAAGGGCCCAATATAGGTACAAGTCAGATTAGTGATTTGCTGGGCTGTACATATTTACAGGACCACTAGAAAACATGAATTTGTTAGTTCTTTTTCCAAGTTTCATCATTTTTTGTTAATTATACTGGCAGCTAGTGCAACTTGTGTCATTTTTGTTTTTATTTGTGTTTCTTTGAGTGTTACTGAGGTAAAAGATACATGGTACTTACTATTTGAAAATTAGTGTGGCTTAATTAGAAAAATCACCTAAGCGTCAGACAAACGGTTTCGAATCCCAATTCAGGTCTCTTCCTGTTGTATGTCAAGTGGATGAGTCTCTCACAAAAACGATTTCTTCATTGGCAAATTGGTAACAATGGTGTCTCCGTTACAAGCATGCTGAAACGATTTGGTGAGTTAATCAATGCCTTGTGGTTTGGTGGCCATACAGGACGTTATTACTCCTCCTCGCTGTCTCTGCTTCTCTAATTTTATCTACCTCCCCTCCTACTCCTGACTTCTTCTTGCATGGATTATCCATTTGAGTTCTTTTGATACAAAGTTTTCTAGACCCCACTTTCTCATGCCAGAATTTATGTTAATGGGGCCAATTATCGGTGTTCTCTAGAAACCTGATCTCTCTATAGCAAGTGCTGAATTAAATTGCAAATCACTGAGGTCAGTTCTGTTCACCCCATGAGTTTTCTTGTGTTCACCCAGCCAAATTTACATTAAAAATTAATACTTTTCCATAAATTGCTCATTTTTGAATGCTCTGTACAGTCCAGTTTCTCTTTTAAACATATTATCCAAGTTTTTGCCCATTAGGTTTCTCAGAGACTTTCTGATTTGTTTTTCTGCTTCTTTGTCTTGGTTTCAGATAATGCTTCAGCTTAATCTTCTGTTACCTCCCACCCAAGAACAACAAGCTTAAGTCTTGTAATAACAAGTATAGTTTGTCAAGCAATTGCCAGACAAGATCATTGCTAGAAGTTACATCTCGGAATGGTACTGCCACTTGGATTTTGTCTGTCTCATCCCCAGTGTCTGCTTTCTAGGCATTATTGTTCATTATCTGGAAATTGGTTTCTATCTTGAGGGAATTTGTAGCAGGAACTGCCTTTTAAAGCAATCACTCTTCTTTGAAGCCAAAAGTAATTTCTAATATGTTATAAGGCATCAGAAAGCCAGTAACAAGCATACGGTTTCTCAATTGGAAAAGCATTAGAAATATCAAATTCTATCCTCTTTCATGAGGGAGAGGCAATTTAGGGGCTGCCAAAAGATTCTCTAGTCTCTCACCTTCATGATAAGACATTGAGCTGTGTAGGAAATATTCTAAGCAGTTCCACTTTAGGAGTTTAAAAGAAAAAATGGGAGCGGGGGAAGAGGAAGGTGAAAAAATGCTCAGCAGTCTTCCCAGCTTCAACAACTGTATTTCACAACCCCTGGAGAATCTCAGAGGCTCCTTTAGATATTATTTTGCATGAGCCTTCTCTTATTAAGTGTCATAAAGAAGGTTTCTTTATTTTTGCATTATTAAGCCTGTCTTCCCCCCATATCCATGCCCGCTATCCCTGTTTTCACCTGTTACAAATAAGTGCTAGCCTTTTTCTACCTGAATAGACAAGGCAGTTCTAACTTCTTATCAGCATCAAAGGCCCTTGCCCCAGACGCTACACCAGCAAAGTTACGAAAGTACTAAGGATTCCAGAGGCGGGAATCACAAAGCTAGAGAGAAGCTCATATATAACAATTAAGTCTGCAGGGGAAGATTGAGGATCATACACAGCTGGATTTAGACAGAATGACCAGGTTTTCTGTAGTTGCTGGACAGTACAATGTAACCTGAAATGTCTGCCATGTGGATTACAGAGAAGTCTATTGTTGAAACTCACAAGGTGAAAAAATGTGGACCTGATCACAGTGTAGTGTGTCTGCCCCATGCTTGCAGTTATGACATTGGAAATAGGAAGGGTGGGACTGGAAATAGTCCATTTCTGCCCAGAGCCCATTCTGTAGCACATAACAGCACAACACTGTCAAGAAATAGTGTCTATGGTCATCATACCACATTCATCATTGTGCCACACTTCTTCAAGAACCCCGGCATCACAGCTCTCCTTGGGATGAAAGGAGGACCAGTCCCCACTTTTAGCCTCTCCTCCCAGTCTACACAAATCATCCTGTGGCATTGGGCAAGCTCGTTAACCTTAGTCTCCCCTAGCACATGGTAGAGGTGAACTTACACTGCCCAACCCACAGAGAGATCGTGAAACCAGAATGAGGTAATATGTACAAAGGATTTTGGAACGAGTTTCAAATTCTGAAAATTCTTGGGGTATGTGCGTTCCTTTGTACCGTTAGGCTGATTTGCAGTCATTTAAATCTATAAAAGGATATTCTGCCACATCGTGTGTGTAAGTTTGATTTTCCTCATGATGTTGTGCACCCCCATTGGGGCAGCTTTCAGCACATGACACTCCCCCCTCACAGCTTCCTGCGTGGGAGTGTGACAGCTAGATCTCCTTCTCCTCCCTCCCCATCCCATTTCCCTTTGTCTGTCCATCACTCTCCTACACTGCAAACAAGACTCAGGTTAAAGACCCGCTGCTCTGTGACGTCACCTTACCTAACTCTCTGCACCTGGGACTGGCAATGATTTAGCTTCCCGTAGTATCCTAGATGGGAGTGATCTCCATCTAACTTGGCCTCTTTCCCTCATTAGACTTGGCTTTTTAATAACAGGACTAAGCCTCTACTTAATATTTTAACCCAATACCTGCTTCATATTATTTGCTTAGTAAATATTCTCAAAATAATGAGTGAATGCCAAAGACTTGTCACCATGAAATAAATAGAATTGGTAAAGTGAGTGATTCTTAAAGTATTTGCTATAAATTTTAGGGGAAACTCATACCTAGTTGTGTCTTTGTTTTGTGCTGCTATAAGAAAATGCCACAGACTGGGTAATTTGCGATCAACAGACATGTGTCGGCTTGTAATTCCGGGGGCTGGAAAGTCTAAGATCAAGGCGCTAGTATCTGGCCTTCTTGCTGAGTCACCACATAGCAGAAGAATGCAGTGTTTTCACATGGCAGAAGGCAGAAAAGCAAAAGAGGAAAAGAGGGAGGAAGGGGACAAACACAACCTTTGGTAACAGCATTCTCCCACCCCTCGGGTCACAGCCCTCATAGCCTAATCACCTCTTAAAGGACCCCCCTCTTACTACTGTTATACTGGCAATTAAATTTCAATATGAGTTTCGAAAACATTAGTCATTTTATACAAAACCATAGCAGCTTTATATCAACCTAATAATATAAATGTATGTATGTGTACATATTTGTGGGGGACGCTTATAACGTACTCCCACTTATTGGAAGTTTCAAACTGAGGACAGATGACCATGTGACAGAAACCATAAGCTGAGGCATCTGTGTGGAACAGGTGGTTACAGCGTCTCATTGTTTCCCTCAGCGGGATACTAACAGGTGCTGTAGAATAGTATGTAACAAACCTGCATGTTCTGCACATGTACCCCAGAACTTAAAATTTTTTTTTAATGTTTTAATAGAATTTTTTGATGAAGCATATTTGGAAATGCTGGAATAAATCTCCAATTTTGAAATCTATCATGTAATTAGTATTTCGTCTCGCAATTCAGTGATCCGAGTGAACTACTTGTTCTTTTATATTATTTTAAACTTACCCCTTCCCTCGTTCATTTTTAGCTTTTGCGGTGACGTGGCACCTGGTCTCTTTCTACAAGGAAAGTTCAACACACAGGACAGTTCTCGATACATTGGATTGGTTTGATGATCCCACCTGCAACAGGTATGTAAAACCTCCAATACATGCTTACTGACACTTTTGAATCATAACTATGGATGTATATTTCTTCCCGTGGATTGCTGAGAATGGAATCTGCTCTAAGCAATTAAATTCATGTGTCAGAGATGACTTTTGTCTTTTCTACTTAGAAGTATATGTTTATATTTTGGCATCTACAACTCCTGAAGAATACTTCATTTTCTTTGTTATATGATAAACTCAAATTAAGAATATAGCCATTCGAAGAGAGAGGAGAAAGTCTATGCTTATGTGGTTGTGAAAATAAGATTTAGCCAAAAATCTATGGAAATCAAATGAATGAAATATGACTGTACTCCGGTATGTTATAAGTGTGGTATCTGTAGTCCAAAATTCTTACAGAAAAAATATCAACTTCTTTCCTTCCCTAAATCAATCCATGCTTAGAGAAAATTGTGTAATAAATCACAGAATGACTACATATGTGACTTAATTAATAGAATTATATCAATTAATTGACTACTCACTTAGATTTTGTGACGGTTATTCCCTTTGTGTATGACAACATAAATATTACATAAGAACAAAAATATATGGCATTTTATAATAACTCCCAATCTTAGATGATTCACCCACCTCAGCCTCCCAGTGTTTAATGCATTATCTTGAAGGGGATATTCTGAAAGTAGATTCTCCCAATATATAAATATAACAGCCTGTAGCTTCTGTCTAATTTAGACTTACTTGGATGAGCACTGTTTGTGAGTATGTAACATAGATAGGTATGTAGGTAGGTAGATAGGTTAGATAGATAGATAGATAGATAGATAGAAAAATAGATGAGACATAGGTATCTCACTACACCTATTACATAATATATGCATGTGTTTGTGTGTTTTTATATATAGTATGCAATGACTAAGGGATACTTTATTACAAGATTGTTTGCTTACTTGTACGCAACTTTTAAAAATATAATTAGAAATATAGCAGGCTTGTTAAAATACAGATATATATTTGGAAAAGTGCCCCATAAATTCTATTTTCAACAGGAAAAATATACACAACTCACCTGCCTCTGCCTCCTCCCCTGCCCCAAAAAAAGTCTGTTGAAAATCAAGTTTGGGAAATTGGGAAGTAGCACAGACCAGAATTAATCAATATGAGTTCAAGACCTGGCTCTACTACTTAGCAAAGGCCTTGGGAAGGTTTCTATACTTCCTTGGGGAAAGTGTTGTGATTTAAATCAGAATGGGAGGAAAGGAGAGTGAGAGAGCATAGATAAATTCACCTCAAATTGCAATGTCCCAAATGTACTTGGTCACGTTTATTCTTAGAGCTGTGTGTAGTAATTAATGGATGTGTTTCTAAGGTTCTCCAAAGAGTTTTACTTTTACGTTCTGTGAGAGTCTGAAATCCACAATAAGAGATTAATGTCCCTGATTTAAGGCAGAAATCGTGACTGGTCATCTACTGGTTGGATCCACCTTAGTTCATTTATTTTATTATTTATCTTGGGCCTACACAAATTTATATGCATGATAATTAAGAAGATGCCAAATCAAAAAATCAGGACCGTTCACATAAAATTTCGGATTCCCAGTCTTCTCTTTCTCTGTAAATGGTCAGAAATTCTTCCTGTAAATTTCTACGTCTAACCCATGCAGTCCACAGTCCACTCTGAGCCAGCAGGTCTCAGCCCTCACTGTGAAGAGATACTGGTGCTCAGGTTTCACCGCAGAAAATTAAATCAGCACCTCTTAGAGTGGACCTTGGGCTTCAGAATGTTTACAAAGTTCCTCAAATTATTCCAGTGTGCAGCCGCTGTTCTAATACCTTCACTTCCCTTTGTGTAAAAACATTCCCCAAGTCCAGGTTACATTCATTACTTCGTCATCTCACCATCTTCTCTGATAGTCCCTAAGTCATCTTATTTCTATTCTCATACTATTCAATCCATGCTTCATCCAACAACAAGAGTAATTGTCTTTATGGAAAATACCTGGTTGAATCCTGCTTCACCATCTTCAATAATAGTAGTAATAATAATAATTTAGGGTGATCATTTATACTGAGGTTGAATAAAGAATCTGACTTCAGGCTTTGCTGAAGGATTGAGTCATTAAAGCATTAAATTTTAGGAGCAATTGGAAGAAAGCGTACAAAAGCGGTAACAGTACCTTCTGCTTGGTCTTCTCCTCCTAGAAGTGACCCATAGTGATCCTTAGGCCAAAAGTAATTCACAAGTGTAGAAAGGACAGGTATCGCTGACCTATCCTATAGATTGCCACCTAATCAGGGTCCTGATCACATCTTACATAGGGAGCAAAGGGATGTTGTAATTTGGCAGTGACACTATAATAAGATTAATTTTATGTCACAGCTACCAAAGTGTATTAAATGTCTATCCTTCCTAAGTTGCATGATTCACCCAGAAAAATTTGATATGGGTGAATTTTTAGGCAGAATAGCAGGATTTAGTGTGTATGTGGTTGGAGTGCTTGTAGCTGAGGTCTTTTCTCCTGCTGCTCAGACATGTAAATGACTTTCGTTCCCACTAATGAATAACATTTTATTTGAACTATAGAAGAGACCTTTTTTTTCTACTAAGTAACTGTATAAACCATTTGTATTAGTCCATTTTCACGCTGCTAATTAAGACATACCCAAGACTGGGAAGAAAAAAGAGTTTAATTGGACTTACAGTTCCACCTGGCTGGGGAGGCCTCAGAATCATGGCAGGATGTGAAAGACACTTCTTACATGGCAGCAGGAAGAGAAAAATGAGGAGGAAGCAAAAGCAGAAACCCCTGATAAACCCGTTAGATCTCTTGAGACTTATTCACTCAGACAGGAATAGCACGGGAATGACTGGCCCCATGATTCAGTTACCTCCCCTTGGGTCCCTCCCACAACACGTGTGAATTCTGGGAGATACCATTCAAGTTGAGATTTGGGTGGGGACACAGCCAAACTATATCATTCTACCCCTAGCTCCTCCAAATCTCATGTTCTTACATTTCAAAACCAATCATGCCTTCCTAACAGTCCCCCAAAGTCTTAACTTATTTTAGCATTAACCCAAAAGTCCACAGTCCAAAGTCTCATCTGAGACAAGGCAAGTCCCTTTGCCTATGAGCCTATAAAATCAAAAGCAAGCTAGTTACTTTCTAGATACAATGTGGGTACAGGTATTGGGTAAATACAGCCATTCCCAGTGGGAGAAATTGACCAAAACAAAGAGGCTACAGGGCTGATGCAAGTCCAAAATCCAGTGGAGCAGTCAAATTTTAAAGCTCTAAAATGATCTCCTTTGACTCCAGGTCTCACATCCAGGTCATGCTTATGTAAGAGGTGAGCTCCCATGGTCTTGGACAGCTCCGCCCCTGTGGCTTTACAGGGTACAACCTCCCTCCTGGCCGCTTTCACAGGCTGGCATTGAGTGTCTGTGGCTTTTCCAGGTGCACAGTGCAAGCTGTTGGTGGATCTATCATTCTGGGGTCTGGAGGCTGGTGGCCCTCTTCTCACAGCTCCACTAGGCAGTGTCTCAGTAGGGACTCTGTATGGGGGCTCTGACCCCACATCTCCCTTTCACACTGCCCTAGCAGAGGTTCTCCATGGGGGCCCCACCCCAACAGCAAACTTTTGCCTGGGCATCCAGGTGTTTCCATACATCTTCTGAGATCTAAGCGGAGGTTCCCAAACCTCAGTTCTTGACTTCTGTGCACCCACAGGCTCAACACCATGTGAAAATCGCCAAGGCTTGGGGCTTCCACCCTCTGAAGCCACATCTAGAGTTCTATGTTGGTCTCTTTCAGCCATGCCTGGAGTAGGTGGGACACAAGGCACCAAGTCCATAAGCTGCGCACAGCACAGGGACCCCAGGCCCTGCCCGTGAAACCACTTTTTCCTTCTGAGCCTCCAGGCCTGTGATGAGAGGGACTGCCGGGAAGGTCTTTGACATGGCCTGGGGACATTTTCCACTTGGTCTTGGGGATTCACATTAGGCTTCTTGCTGCCTATGCAAATTTCTATAGCAGCTTGACTTTCTCCTCCAAAAATGGGTTTTTCTTTTCTACTGCATTGTCAGACTGCAAATTTTCTGAACTTTTATGCTCTGTTTCTCTTTCAAAATGGATGCTTTTAAAAGCAACCAAGTTACCTTTTGAATGCTTTGCTGCTTAGAATTTTCTTCCACCAGATACCCTAAATCATCTCTCTCAAGTTCAAAGTTTCACAGATCTCTAGGGCAGGGGCAAAATGCCACCAGCCTCTTTGCTAAAACACAAGAGTCATTTCTCAACAAGTTCCCCATCTCCATCTGACACCACCTCAGCCTGGACCTTATTGTTCATATCACTATCAGCATTTTTGCCAAAGCAATTCAGCAAATCTCTAGGAGGTTCCAAATTTTCCCACGTTTTACTGTCTTCTTCTGAGCCCTCCAAACTGTTCCAACATCTGCCTGATACCCAGTTTCAAAGTTGCCTCCTAATTTTCAGGTATCTTTTCAGCAATACCCCATTCTACTGGTACCAATTTACTCTATCAGTCAGTTTTCAGGCTGGTAATAAAGACATACCTGAGACTGGGAAGAAAAAAGGGGTTTAATTGGACTTACAATTCCACATGGCTGGTGAGGCCTCAGAATCATGGTGGGAAGCCAAAGGCACTTCTTACATCATGGTGGCAAGGAAAATTAGGAGGAAGCAAAAGCAGAAACCCCTGATAAACCCATCATTCTCATGAGACTTATTCACTATCAAGAGAATAGCACGGGAATGGCTGGCCCCATGATTCAGTTACCTCCCCCTGGGTCCCTCCCACAACACGTTGGAATTCTGGGAGATGTGATTCAAGTTAAGATTTGGGTGGGGTTACAGCTAAACCATATCACCATTGTTTTAGCTACTGAAATTTTTACTGTGGACTCTTATGTGAGTGGTTGGGTAGTTACATTTCCCATTGGAAGGAAAGCAGATGGAATGTCATAAGAAGGTTTTCTTCAGAAAAGATGCCTTTAG